TTTGCAGTCAATATCAACAGTCGCTTCGCGTTTTCGATTTTGGCGGATTTGTTCGGCCCATTCTTTTTTTTTTTTTTTCTTAGTGCCAGTCATTAATTGTCTGCAAAATATGATCGGTCTACTTGTGCCAGGGACAGACGGCTTACCAGCGCATAAAAAAAAATGTCACTCACGATCGGTTTATGATCGACACGGGAGAGCTCGCAACCAATATCGAGGATTTTTATTTATCATTTATCTTGACAGCTTAATAATACGCATTTCATTCACGTGACGCCGATGAGTATAATACAGAACGGCTTTCAACGTAAAATAATTATATCCTGTCGTTTGCGATTCCAGCGCGTAATTAGTTAATTGCATCATACAGCGTGCTGTGGTACATTTAAATTATCACAAGTACAAAGTTGTTAATTCTATCTCATTATCTCGCAAGCAATATAGTAAACACGAGTATCGGTGATACACGAAACAATTAATTGTATATGTATAAAAATTGTAATATAAAATGTAGTATTAATCTACACTGAAAAAAATAATTTTGTTGTAAACAAAATTTGGTAGATTTAAGCAAACATTTTTAATGTATGTTCAACCAAATGTTTAATTACTCCAATCAAAAAATTTGTAAATTTTATCCTGTATATAATAAATTTGGTTGGCTCAAATAAAATATTTTATATTGCCAATCATAATAAGTGTACTACATTTTGGTTGCAGTTAAGAAAATAATTTTTTCAGCGTACGATATCTTTGTGTTGTAATATAAGCTTTTTCTTTCCCCTTCGAGAGCAAGACCTTTCAGGTTCATTAACTCGAACTACTCTTATTCGAAATATCTATCGAGACAATTGGTAACGGAATCACGGCGTGATATCGATTGAAACGAGAAGGAAAGCGGTATTACGGCCTGTAATAAAAGTAATTTCCATAGAATTTCGTAGAATGGACCGCATAGAGAGGAATTGTGTAATTTAAGTCCCGCTTCCGTGCCCTTCTGTGCACAATATTCCAAGAGAAGGAAAAATGCTGCGTCCTGGGAAATCCTGCGTTTCATGGAGACGAGCAAGTTTTCGACTACGGTTTTATTTTATTTTTTCAACCGTCGACAATATGCATTTCTATGACATAAAATATTTTAATATGTAAAAAAATAATATAGCGTCATATTGAAATTACCTTAATTATAACCTACAAAGAAGGGATAATTTTCTATGATAATTGACTTTATCACTATTTCTGAAAAGATATTACGTAATAATTCACTAGTCGTACTCTTTCACAATTTAACAATTTTAATTTTAAATATCCTTTCTATAAAATCGACATGAATTCATTAGATTTTCTCGCCGATATCATGAAAATTATAAATTTTCATATAAATTTTTTAAAAAGAATAAAAAAAAGTTTGGAGGGTTTTCGCAAAAATTTTAAAGAGATCTTCAGAACATCTGGTGATGTCACGGTCCTATCCTAGATTTCTTTTTGGTGGCGACGATGTGGACGAGGAGGACATTTGTTTTCACGTTAGAAGCAATGGAAAATTGTCGTGGTCACGGCGCCGTGAAAAATACGGCTGAATATATCCCGCTCACGTCTTCTCGTCTCCCACGAGCCGCTCGTCGCCACCTTTTTATGACATGTCAAGTGTAAATCCCCGATGCCTCCTCTCAACGCGATGAATGGGAATGTGTGTTTAACATCAAGGCAGAAAACTCTGCCCCAAGAAACCGTTCTGTGACATTCGCGTCATTCCCGCATTTATTTCCCTAACATTCTAGAATAAGATGAATGTCTGGTGCGACGATGCTTTCGCTACTGCGTGGATAATGATCGGTCTTGTCTATTCATAAGCCTTTTTATTTCGAATCTCGAGAACGATTCTGCAAATCGAGAACGAGCACATCGCGCTATAAATCTAATGCAGTTTCTGACAAA